TATTAAGTCTCTTTCCGGCTCAGACTGCATAGGTTAAACTTATGGGGCTGTCACGTGATGAACGAATGACTCGGAAAAACCCGAAGACTCGAAACAGGTGAACTACTTCACTAATTCCAGTACAAAACCTATATGATGTTGCGCATACGCAACTGAACGAATCACTCCCCAAGACGACTCGTTCTTCCTGAGTCACATTAAAGATTCGTTCAAAATGAACGAATCGTTCAAGAACGACCCAACACTACTGCTGGTGGTGTAGACATTAAACACCGTCAGAGCCGCGCTTGACAGTCGTGTTAGCACGGTCTCATGTTGTTTCCACCAGCGCTGAATTTTGTTTTTCATCACCATAATCGATGGATGTCTAAAATATAAAAATAAGGAGAAGCCTAAAACAGGCCCGATGCCCAGCCCGAGTCTGAACTATGACGTGAAAATTGGCCCGTTGGGCCCGGGCTGAAATGCAGGGCTCTAGCGCTGGCGGTATCAAATGGCAGTGTGTGGGGTATCAAAAATAAAGATTATTTAATTTACTACTGTTTTGCATTAATAAGTGCAGTTTTCTAATAATATTACATGTTTATTTATTGGTAATATACATTTGTCAATAAAGCACTGAGCTTGAGATGGGAAGCATGCAAAATTTACTTTTATTAACATCAGTAACGTGCTAAATATAATTTTCATATAGAAAATTAATATATTCATATATATTATACATTAATATATATAATTCTACTCTTACTTAATGTCCCATTCTTCTATAGTATTAAATAGAACTGACCAACAACTTCAGTGATTATAACTGTTGTGCGATTTAGTCGCAAAGTGAAGAAAGGTTTGGTATAAAGCAAGTAGAAATGAATGACTTAAAAGCCAATAAGTGCTCCTCTGCTACCATTTACTGGTTATAGTGGTAATTTTATGTATTTTTTTAAAGTCCCCCTGTAGTGAAAATCAAGTTATGTTGTTTATTTGTCAAAATAGAAAAACTATGTGCCAATCCATTAATCAACACCATTGCTAAGTATTTTCTCCTTAAAACTGTAGTTTCCCAGAGGCTGTCCCAGAAGAACGGCTTTTGGTACATCACAGTTCAATAACTAATCACCTCATGGGATAGATTCCTATCATTAGCATGCAAAATATACCAATGGGATTACCAGCA